CCCCCCCCCCAAAACCCCGGGGGGTCTTCTTCTCCCTTCTCCCACCCCACGCCGCCCTCCCTGCGCGCCGGGGAAGAGCTCCTGGAATAAAGCCCTGTGAAACGTGGCCACCTTCCACCGTCCCGTGGCTCCACCGTGGCCACCGAGGCCGTGGGGCTGGGGGGAGGCGTGGGAGGATGATGGCCGCCGTGAGCATGGTGAGGAAATTGCCCCAGTTCTGAGGGTTGGGGGTTGGTGGCCAACTCGTGGCCACACGTGTTTGGTGCTGGTGGCCACAGTGGCAACCTCCAGCCACGTATCTGGTGCTGGTGGCCATGGTGGGCAACTCATAGCTGTGGGTGTCTGGTGCTGGTGGCCATAGTGGCAACCTGCAACTATGTCTGATGCTGGTGGCCGTGGTGGCAACCTGCAACCACGTATCTCATGCTGGTGGCCATGGTGGGCAACTCATGGCTACGGGTATCTGGTGCTGGTGGCCATAGTGGCAACCTGCAACCACACACCTGGACCTGGTGGCCATGGTGGGACACTCATGGCCATGGGTGTCTGGTGCTGGTAGCCATGGTGCCACTATACAGCCACACACCTGGTGCTGGTGGCCACGGTGGCAATGAGCAGCCACGTCTGGTGCTGACAGGCAACCCGTGCCCAGCTCTGGAAGACATACGTTGAGGTCTGGAGGACACGCGTGTCCAGATCTGGAGGACACGTGTCCAGGTCTAGAGGCCACGTATGTCCACAAGCAAGAGGACACGCGTGGCCAAGCCTGGAGGACACACACGTGCAGCTCAGGAAGCCACGGATGGGGACCCCCCCCCCCCCCCCCCCCCCCCCCCCCCCAGCCACAAGCCGTTTTAGGGCTGGGCAAGGTTGGGGAGGAAAGCAAACGCCTGCGGGCAGGTTAGACCCGTTCCTGGGTAAACACAGGAGAGGCACTGATGCCACCGCTGTCACCGTGCCCAGGCAGGAGCGAGGACATGCAGAAGGTGGCCCCAGCACAGTTTGCAGGGGGGGCTGCACCTCACCCTGGGTTTGTTTCTGGTGGCTGGTGGCCCTGCAGGGCTGGGTGGGACAAGGCTGGTTTGGGGGGGTTTGATGCTGGCTGGTAGAGCTTTACACCAGTTACGCCCAGCGGGATCGCTTGGGATTTACACGGGGAAGCCCCGCCCCTCCCACCTCCTGGCCACGCCCCCTCCCGGCCAGAAGCCCCGCCCCAAAGCCACGTGCAGGCCATGCGGGGTGACAGCACCCTCTAGCGCAAGCGCGCACCCATGGGTGTGCGCAGGGCCGGGTGTGCACAGGTAGAGAAATGGCTGTTGTGGACATGTGGACGTGTGTTGTGGCCGTGTGTCGTGGACACATGGACGTGTGGAGATGTGTCATGGACGTGTGGACGTGTGTTGTGGACATACGGACATGTGTTGCGGACACATGGACATGTGGACGTGTGTTGTGGACACATGGACGTGTGGACGTGTGTTGTGGATGTGTGGACGTTTGTTGTGGACATACGGACTTGTGTTGTGGACACATGGACATGTGGACGTGTGTTGTGGACGTGTGGACATGTGTTGTGGACATACGGACTTGTGTTGCGGACACATGGACGTGTGTTGTGGACGTGTGGACGTGTGTCATGGATGTGTGGAAGTGTGTTGGGAACATATGGACAACAGGTCACGGACATGTGGACGCGTGTTGTGGACGCGTGTCATGGACGTGTGGACATGTGTTGCGGACATGCAGACGTGTTGTGGACGTGTGGATGTGCGTCATGGACGTGTGGACACGTGTTGTGGATGTGTGGAAGTGTGTTGTGGACATGTCATGGACATTGGATGTGCAGACGTGTGTCGCGGACGTGTGTCATGCATGGGTGGACATGTGTTGCAGACGTGTGTCGTGGACGTGCAGACGTGTGGTGGACATGTGTCGTGGACATATGGACATGTGGATGTGTGTTGTGGACGTGCAGACATGAGTTGTGGACGTCTGGACGCGTGTCATGGACGTGTGGAGGTGCAGACGTGTTGTGGACGTGCAGACGTGTTGTGGACGTGCAGACGTGTTGTGTGGACGCGTGTCGTGGACATGTGGACGCGTGTCATGGACACGTGGATGGGCAGACGTGTTGTGGCCGTGCAGACGTGTTGTGGACGTGTGTCGTGGACATGTGGACGCGTGTCGTGGACACGTGGATGGGCAGACGTGTTGTGGACGTGCAGACGTGTTGTGGACGGGTGTCGTGGACATGGGGACGCGGGGCATGGGAACGTGGGTGG